GCCTCCTCCACCCTCCTCCCCCTCCTCCTCCTCCTCCTCCTCCTCCTCCTCCTCCTCCTCCTCCTCCTCCTCCTCCTCCTCCTCCTCCTCCTCCTCCTCCCTCCTCCCCCCCTCCTTCTCCCCCTCCCCCTCCCCTCCCCCCCCCCCCCCTCCTCCACCTCCTCCTCCTCCTCCTCCTCCTCCTCCTCCTCCTCCTCCTCCTCGGGTCGCCTGCGGCCCCGGGGGAGAACCGTGCAGGGGCCCGACCCACGGAGATCGATCCGTCTCCTTTTTGGCATCGCTCGGGCGTGTGCCTTTTTTTCCCGGGCGAGGACCCCTGAGGAGCATGTCGCCGGCATCATTTAACCAATCCCCATCCCCATGCCCATCCCCTACGAGACCCCCACCAAATTACCACCCCAGTTGGGGATACACCCCCCGAAACTCGAAGGGTAAATCGGCCAGTGAGGCCCAGGCCACCCCGCTGGGGATGGGGATCGGTTAAACGATACTCATTTCGGATCGTTCTCGAAGAAGAAGGGCGCACGAAGTCGAAAACAATACAAAGGAAAGGGACGTCCGAGCGACGCCAAGAGTTGATTCGTTCCAGACCGTTCTCTAGCACGCTCTCAGCGCTATCTGGAGTGCTCTGGGAAAGCCGCGGCGCCCGAGACGTCCTCCAGAGCCGCCGGACCTCAGCTAGATTCTCGATGCATCCCCACCCGACGTTATCCTTAAGTCACAAAAAGGTATTGTCCTCGTCCTGGCTCCGTCTTCAAGGAGGCTCCCGTGCGAGGTTCTCGCCCCGCCCTGGCGGCCCGCTGCCCGGTGCCCTCGTGCGTCTTCCGGCAGGCAGGCCCGTCCCAGCCGCCCGTCCTTCAGGACCCCATCCCTCAGGACCCCACCCCTCAGGACTCTAAGGTCCTAGATGTGGTCGGAGTGGATGGGGTCGGAGGATCGCGCCGCTTCGCCGATGCATTGCCAATGCGGCTCGATGCAGAGCCCGATTTTCTCCACGCAGACGGCGCCGATGCATCGCCGACGTCGCCGGTGCGTCGCCGATGCATCGGCGATGCATCGCCAATGCATCGGCAATGCGGCGGGATCCTTCGACCCCACCTACTCCGACCTCATCTAGGAGGCCTCTGCCCGTGCCAGCCGCCCGTCCCTCAGGACCCCGTCCCTCGGGACCCCAGCTTGGAACCAACGATCCGTCCCGCGAGGGCGCCAGCCCTCAGGGGCCGTGCGCCAGGGGAGGCAGGCGCGCCGGGGCGGTTGGCTTGCCCTAGGCCTCCCAGGTGGGGTCGGAGGATCGCGCCGCCTCGCCGATGCATCGCCGATTCGGCTCGACGTGGGGCCCGATTTGCTCCACGTCGGCGTCGCCGGTGCATCGCCGACGTCGACGATGCAGCTCCGGTGCATCGCCGATGCATCGCCGACGTATCGGCGATGTCTCGGCGATGCGGCGCGATCCTCCGACCCCATCTACTCCGACCCCATCTGGGAGGCCTCTACTTGCCCTGCCGCCTCCCTGCGGAGCGCGAGGTCGTCCCCTCCTGCGGGCAAGATTTACATCCGCATCCTCGGAGGAGGAAACGGCATCCATACAGTAGGAGCTCGACCACAAGAAACCTTCCACAAGAGACCCAACCCTGAGACACCAGGACGTTCATTGATTTTTGGTGTGGGAACGTCACGCTTTCCATCGCAAAACCATCAAAACCCCGGAAACCCAGGGCACCCTGGAGGCAAGCAGCGTGCTCAGGGGGGGAAGGCCTTCTCAGAAGGCGGTGGGGCTTCTCAGGAGTCCTCGCGCCTTCTGAGAAGTTGTCTGTGTCTTCGGGGAAGGCTCAGGAAACTTCTTAGAAGGCCTGGGGACTTCCGAGTCTTCTGAGAAGGCCCGCCCCTTCTCACTTCCCCCCTCGCTCGCCGCCGATCGAAGGCCGAAAGGGCACCCCCACCCCAATACCTTTGCCTCGTTCTCCCCTTTTGGGACCCCCTGGGAGGCCCCCGTCGCCACCGCTGGATTTCGCCCCGACATCCTGGGCAGAACACACCCCGGGAGAGGTCTGGAGAGAAGCGGTGCGGGCAATATGTTTTGCGAAGGCCTTACGACTGGTGCTGCCGACCCCGAAGGGGGGACGACGACGACAACGGCGGCGGCGGTGGCGACGGCGATGATGCTGACGTGGGCCAGAGTCCTCAGGTATGCTTCTTCGGGTCTCTTCGGAAGGCTCGCGGGGGCCTCTGGGGAGGAATTTTGGGGCCTCTTGGTATTCATATCCAGTGCGTATTGGATTTCCTTGGGTCGCGGGCGGGTCGCGGGTGGGTATGCGCATCAAGTGCTTCGTCGCCCTCGTCGTCGTCGCCGTCGCCGTCGCCGTCGTCGTCGTCGTCGTCGTCGTCGTCGTCGTGGGCGCGCTCGGCCAGAGGGCGGCGGCGCGAAGATGATCGCGCGCTGCGCGTCGCGGCCTGCGCCCCGAGGGCGTTCTCCGCAAGGGCGGCGGTGCGAGGCCGCGAAGGTGTTCGTGCGCCGCGGGGCGCAATGCGGGAGGTGACGCTGTGGGCAAGATTTGTTTCCATGTCCTTAAAAAGTTGGACACGTCCTTCTACAGGAGGAATATTCAAGAATACTCAAAACATAGTATGGGGACTTGTTTAAACTATTGTTTGACCATGTTCGAAAAACTGTGGCTGTTTACTTTTTTCGCCCCAAATCCGCCTGTAGGGGGACATGCCCGACCTGACCATATCAAGGCCGAGACGCGTGCGTCTCGGCCTGGGGGAGGGGGCACGAATTTCCAAGCTGCAGTGGATCTGGACACGAGTCTTGCCCGCATCCGATCCCCACCGGCCGACCTGGGTCTCAGACCCGCAGCAGATCTCGGACGGCCTATTCTTTTCTGCTCCACTGGCAGAAAATAATAGGCATAGGAGCTCCTCCTCCTCCTCCTCCTCCTCCTCCTCCTCCTGCTCCTGCTTTTCTGCTCCACTTTTCTGCTCCACTTTTCTGCTCCACTATTCTATTCCTCGATGTGGGCCTCTGGGGCTCGATATCGGCCGCACGGCAGACGAAGACTGGGTCCGAGGCGAAGAGCTGGCTCGGGTGACGCGGTCGGGACTTCTTCGGTCCGCGCGGGGAAGAAGTCAAGTCGTCGGATGTCTGAGGCGACGGCCGCGACGCCCCCCCCCTCAGAATCGGCTCGCGGGCCTGTCCAGGGGAGCGGTGCGTTCTTCAGCAGCAACGTCGGGGGGGCTAGGCTCAGGGAGGGATGAGTCGACCCTTTCTCGCCTGTTGATTTTGGATGGGGGCCCGATTGGCCGACCCCGCTCGGGAGCGTGCGGATTCGCAGTCGGGGGCATGTTGCCGATCTATCGGCGATGCATCGCCGATCTCCGCTCGATGGTTTCGCCCCCGATCCGGCCCACCGCCTCACGTTTCCCCTCATCGCTGCGACGGCCGGCTGCCATGCGCGACGTCGCCTTCCCTCAGAGCCGGCCCGTGAGCCTCCCCAGCGGAGCGGTGCGCTCTGACCAGGAGTGTGTGAGGCGGGTGCAGCCGTGGCCACGGCGACGACCACCCTCCTCCTCCTCCTCCTCCTCCTCCTCCTCCTCCTCCAGAATCGCAGACGGCGTAAGCACAGACAGGCAAGACGCGGAAGCCGGGGCCACCTCGGGCTCAGAAAGGGGCTCCGGTTCCCGGGCCGTGCCTGATATAGGCCTGGCGGCCGACTCGACGCCGATGTCGGCCGTGGCCGGAAGAGAAGCATGCGATCTCTCTTTGGCGTTACTTTGTGGTAGCACGATGGTTCTGTAGCGCTTATGTTCGGGGGAGCGTAAGACCCGGGTTTGCCAGGACTCGGGTTCGCCATCGTTTTTTGACGACCGCGCCTCGGATTTTGACGAGGAGGAGTTTCGTGGGATGTCTGCAGCGTGAGGCCTCGTCAAAATGCAGGCTCGGCCTCGTCATTTTTTTGACGACCTCGTCGGGGATTTCCGAGTCCCCCGTACCCGGGTCTTACGTCTCCCCGATATGTGTGTGTTGCTTCCCGAACCATGGCGACGATCGCAGGGCGTCAGCCGCGCATCTGCACCTCTCCTGGCCGGGTCCATCCAGGGCCCACACACAGAAGGGAAAGGGATGTGGCCATTTTCCGAATTTCTGGCCCCCGCCCCCTCCCCGTCCTTCGATCTCAGTGCTGACGCAGCCGCGGCCCACCGCGGAAGGGTCGGACAGCGCGGCGCTCTGAAATGGCAGGGCGCGGGGAGACGGACCACTCGCGAGAGTTGCGTTACGTTCCCAGGTTAGTTCGCAGGCGAAATCCGGATCCTACCCTCGCCGACCGACGATTCAGGCAACTCGATGGGCGACTGGGGTAATGGTCTGTAATTCGTCGAGCGCGTGGCGAGATCCGAAGCCTACCTCCACCTCCCATCGACTCAGGGTCGCCACCTTGTTGTCCAGGATGTGCTTGGCCAGTTTCGGTGTTGTCTGCATGTGGGCGCGCGCGAGTTTTTTACCTGCTCACGACGGCAGCGGCCGCGACGTCGGCACCGCCTCTGCGAGAGACTCCTGGGCCTTCAGGGGTGCGTTCGGACCATGCCAGACCTGCGCGAGGAGTGGAGGAGGAGGAGGATGAGGCGGAGAAGAAGGAGGGGGAAGAGGAGGAGGAAGCCGAGGAGGATGAATATGCAGCCCATCGGACCCTCAATATCTTTTCCATATGGACCTTCAACCGTGGAGCCACCCAGGGCGCATTGGAAAGATCTGGTGCCATCTCGGGATGCCCTGAGCATTCCTTGGCGCATCCAGCCGTGGCTACGGCGGCAACGGGGAGCCTTCCAGGAGTTCGAAGCTGGCAAAGGGTTACGATCGACGACGACGCCGACGACGACGCCGACGCCTCCGCGAGATGGACCTGGCAAGCACGCCGACGACACCAGCGCCGATGCCGCCGCCGCCACCGACGCCGCTGGCGGACGCCGCCAGACGCCGGCGGCGGCGTCGGGCCCCCAGCGAGGTGGACCTGGCAAGCACGCTGCACGGGGCCAGGCACTCCGAGTTTGCCAGCGAGGTGCGCTCCAGCATCAACGCCAACTCGGCGCGCCCCGCCCCGCGCCCTCGAAGCGCTTCTCGGGGGGTGGCGAGGGGGATGCAGAGTCGGACCGGGGTATGAGGTCGAGGTCGGTTCGGGGAGGGTGCCTTCGTGTTCTTCGTGTGTGTGTGTGTGTGTGCGTGTTGGATGTTCTCGTGCATCGTGGGGAGTGTACCCTCTGATGTTCTCTGTGATTTTGCTCGCGGAAGGGTCTCATGTTCTTGAGGGATGTACTTCTGTCCTAGGTCAAGCTGTAGCGCCGTCGGCGGAGATTTTCCCAGCCGTCCTGCGTGGGGCTCTAGCTTTGAACAGGGCACTGCTCGGACGTCGGCGCGTCTCCTCTTTGTGGGCGCTGGACGCTGTCGCGCTCCCTGGTGAAGGATGGTGCCCACGAGCGGCTCAAGCCCAGAGGCACGCGAATCCAGCCTTGGGCGTTTCGTGCTGGTGGGGGGCGATGAATGTGGGGGCGACGAAAGCTTCACGATTCCCCCCCCCCCCCCCCCGCCCCCACCCCGAAGAGTAGCTCTAGACCTCCTAGATGGGGTCGGAGTAGATAGGGGTCGGAGGATCGCGCCGCATCGCCGATGCATCGCCGATGCTGCTCGATGTGCAACCCGATTTGCTGCACGTCGACGTCGCCGATGTATCGACGACGTTGACGATGCATTGCCAGTGCATCGCCGAGGCATCGCCGATGCATCGGCGATGATGCGGCGCGATCCTCCGACCCCATCTGCTCCGACCCCATCCAGGAGGCCTCCAGAAGCAGAAAAGACACCCAAAGGAGCAGCTGCAGCGCTGCGAAGATGCTGCACCTTGCTCTCCCGTCCCGTGCTCCTGACCTCCTTGCTGCCCCAGGTGCTCCACAAGTCCCCCCCCCCCCCCGCCCCTGCGCAGCCCCCGCAGCAGAAGGAGAGCCGCCCCGGAGCGCGGGATTCTCTGGCCCGTGCAGCGCAGAGCCTGGACGCTGCCTGGCCGTGTCGCGTCGCGCGGGTGACCGAGGCTGCGTGCCGCCGCGCGTGGAACGGCACAGCCGGGCCGAACATAGGGGGGGGGGGAACAGGCACACAGGGGGGGTACGAAGTCTGCTGCATGGGCGCCTCCCGGCGCCTGGAGGCGCTGGGAAAATCAGCTACGTGAGCTGATTCTCTACCCTACCCTTTGCTATCCTCCCCTTCCCTTCACCTCGGCACAGCCCAGGGCGGCCGGGGGGGCCAGAGCGCAGTGGAGTGCGGGGAGAAGTCGCCCACGTGCAGCGGAGGGGCCACGCAGGGGGGAGGGGAAGGTTTCTCAGAGTCGAGGATGAGAAAAAGGCAGGAGCGCAACAAAATAGGTGTATGCCGTTTTTAGATGTACATATCTATATACATGCATAGATCGGTCCTAATATCTGGCACCACGCGGTGCCCACAGAACTTTGGTACTCACAGTGGTCCAGAACCAGGTCAAGTCTTCCGGCGAGGACGATGGCCGAGGGTGGAGCTCAGGGTGGACTAGCATGTTCAGCATGGAGGAGATTGTCACGCCAGGGTACAGAGCACACCCATGCCAAGAAACACCTTGCTTGCCTCCAGGGTGCCCTTGGTTTCTTTGGATTTGATGGTTTTGCGATGTAGAGCGTAACGCCCCCACACCGAAAATCAATGGACGTCCTAGGGTCTCAGGGTTGGGTTTCTTGTGGGAAATTTCTTGTGGTCGAGCTCCTACTGTAATGGCGCAGCAAGCGGGTACAATAACTGGCGACTCTGGATTGGGCGAAGCTGGCTGTTGAGGAAAGGCAGGGGCTTCCAGCAGAAACTGTGGACCCTCTGGTGATGACACTGTTGGCCAACGGAGCTGAGGCGGCATGTTAACATATAGAGCTTGGAGATTCAGAGCGAGCTGGAGGCGAGGCCTTCCTCTTCCAAGCCTCAGTAATTGGGCCACTGACAGGATCGGAGAGGACGCCCTCTGGAGCGTCTTCGGCTTATCCATTGAGCGAGGCGAGACCTCATCAGCATGCGCAGGACGTGCTCGCACAGCATTCGCCAAAACATCACCACCCACCAAACCACCCCAACCCAACCCTGAGGCCCAAACTTATCCTCGATTTCCAGTGGGGGGGGGTCGGGGAAGTTGAACAAAAACACATGGAACCCGTACCCCCCCCAACCCGAAATTCGGGTCAAATTCGGGTCTTCGGGTTGGGTTGGGGTGGCCTGGTAGATAATCAAAACGCACAACGGCATAACTGTACTACATACAGTGGCTGAGGGATTCTTGCCGTTGCGAGGACGGCTTGGCATGGGGCGCTGAGCGGTGGTACTGGCTGCGTCTCTCGGCGTGAATGGGGTTTCTTCGAGATGTGGGCACCGATTCGAATGGCCTACCCGAAGTAGGTGATATAGTCCAGCGTGCACGAGGCGACGGTGTGGGACGAGACGCCCCCCCGCCGGTACCACAGTACACCCCATCAGCGGAGGCCGAGGGCGAACCCGAGCGGGCGAGTATTGAGTGGATGGAGGACGACGCCCCGCCGACGAGGAAAACGCGATTGACATCTTGGCTACATGGGGACGACGACTGGCATGACTCTAACAAAAATGTGGCGTGGAGCGTGGTCCACCCAAGCGAGATGGGTTGAATCGATTTTGAGACCGAAACAGCGATTATCCTGACCCCCTGGCGATAATGAGCGTGCCCAGGGGGGAGGGGTCGGTCACGTTACGTTTCGCGCAGGCGCCGTTTGGTAATATTTGCCCAGACGGCGCGGGCGCGAATGGTGACGTGACCATCAGGGGGGGTGGGGGGGGCGCTCACGCCCGCTTTCGTTGATAACTGCGCAAGCGGCAGGGCAATTCCAGCCGAAAGTGCCATGCCGCGCTGCGTGGGGAACTTTCAGCATCGTCGACCGTATCCAGCACGGGTTCGATGAAGACGTGTGGTCGCAGGTGGGCATCCCGTTGATCGCGTGGTCGACATCTGGTGGCGTCCAGCCTGGCGCCGGCTGGGCCCGCGACGACGGCAAGGCCTCCCTGAACGCGACACTCGCCAGCGAGGGGTTGTTCAGGCGGCCGACGCGCAAGCGTCGCGAGGAAGAACGCGACGTCAACGCTGGCGAGACCAACGAGGCGGCCGAGGGCGAGGTGGAGGAGCGAGCCTGCGCGTGCCATGAGCCAGGATGCGGCGCTCCTGACTCGGGCTGCGGCGTGGTCTTGATTGGCGCCGAGACATTCGAGATGCATATTGACGGCGCGGGAGCGACCCCGACGCGGGGGCCAGATCCGCCGACCACCCATTCCAAAAGGAGCGATGGCTTGGCCGGGCGCCCCCAGAAGGCGCTCTGGATCAAGCGGTGCTTCCCTGTGGCACGGAAGAGCGCGAGGATCCTCTGCTGCGCGCTTGGCAGTGATGCGTAGTTCCTGATCAGCGAGCTTGTGCTCAGTGCTGCGCGCGACGCTCAACATCGAGAGGGGTGCTCTGGCTTGGAGAGATCGGCGTTTCCCTTTCGTCACGCGAGGCCGTTCGCAGCGGGCGCGTCGGGGCGGGCCGAGCGGGTCGCCGCGCGCCGCTGCCTGTCGCGACGATCGACGAGGCAGGTCGAGGAGCTCCGAGGGCATTTTCAGGCGGGCCGGGTCGGCGCCCAAAGATTAGCGAGGACGCCTGCCGCTTGCGTCGAGGGCAAGGTGGCGGGCGCGATGGAGATTCTCCCGCCGCCCCGGGTCTGTCTTCAGGCGGCTCGCCGCGGAGCGTGGAATCTCGGGTCGTCCGACGAGGCGGTTGGTCGGAAAGCTCGGGCATCTCGGGGCGTGTCGGAGCTGCGGGGAGCTATTGGGGAGGGTGGGCCTCTCTGCATCAGCGCGCCGCCTTCCCGCGGGGCTCGCGGCCCTCCAGTTCTTGACCTCGCGCGGAGAACGACGAGGCCAAGCGGTCCATTTCTGCGGGCTCCAGGGGGCGATGAGGTTCGCGCTGTGGCGCGTGCGGATAGCCGGGTGTCGGATGTCTTGTGACCGATATTATATCAGCGAGGTCCTTGCGACATCGGCTTCCTGCAGCCTCTCGCGCGAGAGACGATTCCTGCGACGTCCTCATCGCTTGCGAGCGTGGCGAGTGGTTGCCAGGTCGATCCCCGACATCCAATTTCGACGGTTTTTGTTTCATCTGGGACTGCGCTGGAAGTTCGTGACTTCGCCGCCAGTGGCGGCGCGGTTTCTGGCGCTGCGTTGCCCGGGTAGTCGCGCCCATGCAGTTGTGGGAGGCGGCAGTCCAGTGCCGGGCCTCTGCGTCCCCCCCCGCATGCAGTTGTCACCAGCTGCGCGTTGCATGATTACGCGGTTGCGCGGGCAGCCAGCGCGCGGGCCATGGCTCGGATTGGTTGCGACGGGAGCCAATGACAACACGAGCAGCTCTCGACTTGCGCCTATGCCCCGCGGAGTGCCCCAGGCAGGAGGCGCGGTCGTTGCGTGGCGAACAAGGAAAATGGCTATCGAAGGAAAGCAATATTCGTTCCGCTGGCGTCGCGGAGTTTGCGTCGGCCGCGTTCGAGGTAGATGCTAGGCAGCTCCTCCGGGCTGCCATCCGCTGACGCGCCGGCGCGTGCGAGGGGCGCGCCGGGGAGAAGGGGCGGCCCGGGGGCTGGTGGATCGGAACAACGCGCCACGACGGTTGATCTGGATATCCCACCAGGAAGCCACATCGAACAAATCTCCGAGGGCACCGCGTCTCTGGGAGGACCAGGTCGACGTGGGATGGCGGCGACCAGGCCTGGCGCGTTCCTACTCGGGATGGGGGGGGGGCGAGCCGACCGAGATCAACGACCGATCCGACCTTGGCGGCGCTGCCTATCGATTCGATTCCAGCGCCCAAGTTTTTGACCCCCGGGCCGTATCATGCCCCGACGGGCTACCCCTCAATCAGGAATCTAAAGAGTACGTGCGATGCTCAGGATTGGCCGCCAGGAGATGCGCCTCCTTGGCCGCCGAAGCATCCTCGTCTAGACGCCCCCGCTCCGCCCCCCGGGCCTCTCCGACTCCGACGCGGGGCCCCTGCTCGGCTGCGGCGCAGCAACGACCAAAGGAGATGAGGTCGCCCCCGCGCTGGCAGTCGCGGGCGCGGAGGCACCGCTGGCCCGCGGAAAGGGCGGTCGCGGGGCGGGTCCGAGGCGGCAGGCGGCGGAGAGGCAGGAGCAGATAAATGGTTTCGGGCACGTATCGCCCATCGGAAGGCATTGGGGGATCGGTCGCCTGAGGAGTCGCGTCTCCTTCGTCTCGAAGCACCAGGTCGCGCTCCACCCCGCGGGCGAATGCCGGCCATGTTGTCCGAGGGTGGGGGCGCAGAGCCACGTTGCCGCACGGCGCGGTCCAAGATTTTCAAGACCTGGATGCGCTAGACACGGATCGGGCACGTAAATCACGGAGTCTCTCGCTTTCGACCACAGACGAGGCTGCGCCGCAATGGCTTGTGGCTTCTGCGCAGAACCCTTTGGTTTTGGAAGACATATCTTGGGGCCGACGCGGTGGGTCGACATAGCGGGCCCGCGTTCGTCGCCGCCCCGTGGAAAGTCGCCCCCGAGAGACGCCGCCTAGAACAGATATTCGAAGTAGTCGGCGGCAATGCTGGAGTGGGCTCGCCGCCGTGTTGGCGCGCGATTCATGCGCGCTATGCCGCCGAAATCGGCGACGTGGCCCGTCTTTTTCGATCCTTGCCACTCTGCGATGCGCGACCCAGTGCGATCTGGGCAACCAATGCCGACGGCGCCCGCGAGCGTTCCGGATGGCCCGCGTCGGGCCACCTGGCGCCTCGCGCGGAGGCCGGGGCCCGGGGGGGCCGGGGTGGGCGGAGCGACCCGAACGTGGCGAGATGGGGCGGCGGCATTCATAGTGCCATGGGAACAGCAGCTTCCTGACGGCGCGTTAGGTAAATTCCGGGAGACCTCCGCTGAGGCGATGAACGCCGGGGAACTCAAGACGACGACCCCGGAGCGGCGTCGAGGCGCTGTCTGGCAAGTGTTCGGCGCAGATTTGAGTTCGCCAGGCCAGGAATCGGCCAGCTGGTTATTGAGCTCGACCTGACTTGTCGCGTAATCGCAGCAAGAATCAACTACTGTTGCGGCGCCCCAGTGCGCGTGCTTGCAGACGTCGGCGCCGCAGGACCTCGCGATCCGCTTCTCCCCGAGACTTCTCGGTGATCTGCGGTCGCTTATCCGCGCCGACTTTGCGGGTGGATAGAATGGCGGATCTGGGCGCCCGACATGGGCGCGGAAAGAATGGGCACAATGCCCGACTGCAATTCTGGTTCATTTTGAACCGGATTCGCTGTCCACGCCGCCGCGGCCTGTGTCCATTCGAGACAGAAGGCCGCCTGCCCGACAGCGGCCGCTGTTGGTTTGGGATTCCATTTGCTGTTGAGCATTGTACCCAGTCTTTCCGTGCCCATTTCGGGCGTCGAAAGCGGATTCGAAAGGGCCCAGTCTCGGCGCGTTGAATGCGACGTCCCCCGAGACGCAGCAAGGCAAGGTGGCCCTTTGAACCCCCCTTCTATCTGACGTAGCTATCGACTAATTCGGGTTGCGCGATCATTCTTGGGCGAGGGGGCGTCCTTATCGCGCGCGGGTCTGATCATCTGGAGTTCGTCGCGCGTTTCCTGGCAGCTCCCGCGTTTTCGCGGGTCGCCGTGGGGAACGGGTGATTGCCTCCGCGACGATGCGAGGCCATCGCCGCGGTCGATGCCAAGTCCGCCAATGACCAAATGGGGCGCCGGGCCTCGCGGGGACAAGCGGTGCGCGGTGGAAATTACGACTGTGGTGCGCTCTTCAGAGGTGCGGAGGCCGATCCAGGTGGGGCCCCGCATCCTCGATGTTGGTAACCAGATGCGCACTTTCTGCCTCGAGCCTGTATTTGATTCGGAATGCGTCAGCCGACCGAAGAGTTTGTGGCCCTTGACTCGGCATCTCAGGAGCGAGAGCGCCTGCGTGCGCGTACGGATATGTGCTGTCGCGGCCAGCGTTGCAAGGCTATCAGGCCGTCGCCGAAAAAAAACAAACTGCACCTGCTCTCGGTGGCTTGGTTTCACTCAGCTCGACTGGTTGGCCTTCATGCAGTGGGCGATCCGAAGACAGTCCGCAGTCTGTCAGAGAGTCTCACCGTGGCGGACAGCGACTGCGCTGGCATAGCGAACTGCGTTTCAAAATCGGCGCGCATGGTGCCCCATATTCCAGCCCCGACTTCCATTAGAGGCCTTCGGCAAGGTTGTTGGCGTAACATCGCGATGATACCACAACAGCACCAATTACGTACATGCTAGTTGCTCAGTGTCGCTTGAAGACGCCTTGATCTCCCGGGCGATCTAGCTGTGCTGAGAAAGCGCTCGCCGAATCTTCGCCAGGATGGTTTCACTTGAAACAGTACCCGAGATTCTCTCCACGGGTGTCTGGTGGCGTCGGCGCAAGCAAAGGCATTGCGACCAAGGATGAGGAACAGTTCGCAAATTTCGAGAAAACGAAAATCTATTTAAACGAATGGAGAAATACATAGACGACGACCCCGACCAACGTGGGCTAGTCGAGATGGCGGCCGTTCCCGTCACCAGGGACTTTTTCCAAGTATCTAGACCTGCGCGGCGTGGTCCTGAATGTGTTCAGTGACCATTTCGGCTTCGGTCTTTCCTTTGAAAACCGACCAAAAGGCCCGTCACGTCCCGTAGGCGCTTGCCCACAACGAAAGGACATCGGACGGAAACGTGTCCAACCTGCCCTTGCATCATGCATTCGACGCTCTTTGATAGGGACGGGCGTCCGTGGGAACTTTGCAGACCAAGTGCTCGCGCCCGTGCCCGCGCGCCTCCGCCCGAGGCCGTTTTTGCGAAGACCACCCTTCGGGGCGACCGGGCCAACAAAGATACTCCAGGAAAGGATTTGTTTGCATATCTGGCACCAGGCGGGGCCCGCAGAAGTTGAGTACTCGTTCGAAGTAGGGCGAGGAGGAGGAGGAGGAGGAGGAGGAGGAGGAGGAGGAGGGAATGGAGGAGGACAACGAGGGGGACGAGGAGGAGGAGGAGGAGGAGGAGGAGGAGGGAAAAGAGGAGGAGGACGAGGAGGAGGACCAGGCGGTGCGTCTTGAGGAGGACGGCGACGAGGCAGAGGATGATGATGATGATGATGATGATGATGATGATGATGATGATGATGATGATGATGATGATGATGATGATGATGATGATGTGATGATGATGATGATGATGATGATGAGGAGGAGGAGGAGGAGGAGGAGGAGGAGGAGGAGGAGGAGGAGGAGGAGGAGGAGGAGGAGGAGAAGCAAGAGGAGCATGAAGAGCACGGAGGGCGGAGGGGGTTCGAAGGTCTCCGTGTGTTTTCTGACGTTTTCAGTGGTCTGCTGCGGCTTTCAGTGGTCTGGCCCCTTCAGCCGCCAGGAAACAATGGCACTGGCGGTATTGAGGCGCCCCGAAAGACCTTTTGCGTACCACGTCGTGGCCCAACAACTAAGGGCGAGAAGGGAGGAGGGAAAGGAGGACGAACATGAGGAAGGATTGCATTTCGATGTAGAGTAGTTTTTGTTGGTAGATTCCGGGCCGTCACGGGACGGGACCGTCGTGGCCACGACAGGATCCGACTCAATACTCACACCCGTCCCAGGTCCCGCCCTCATAAGCCCGTGCAGGATTTCGTTCTCACTGAGGGAAGCACCTTCCTGAAAGGCGAACGCCCCAGGGTCTTGCATTTCAGGCGATGGCCCTAGCTTGAAGCGAAACTATTATCCATGCTTCTAACCCTCCTCCTCCTCCGCCTCCGCCTAGCTAGCAGTGGCGGTGGCGAGGTAGGATCAGAACACCAATTGACGTGACCAGCGAGAGCCACGCGTCTGGAAGCAGACTCGTCTTCAATACGTGTCACGATGCTCCAAAGTTACACGCTTGGCTATACAGTGAGAACCCATGTCAAGAAACACCCTGCTTGCCTTCAGCGTGCCCCGGGTTGCTTTGGTTTCGATGGTTTTGCGACGGAAAGCGTGACGGTCCACACCACAATCAATGGACGTCCTGGGTCTCAGGGTTGGGTTTCTCGTGGAAGGTTTCTTGTGGATTGGCCTCCACTGTAGGACTTAGTCCCACGTGGCGCCCCGAAGTTGACAACGAACCGCTCTTCCTCCGTGTAGCTGTTGAGCAATGTTAGAACTTTGATCATGAGTGTTTAGGAGGCCCCACAAGAACCGTCGATTTCAACTGGAACTGGTCTCCATCCAGGTAAGTGTTGGAAGTTGTTCAGACACATGTGTGCGGCGTTGAGGCACGTTCAGCTAAACGGATCTCATCATGCTCTTTCGGGACGAGTGTGTAAGGCGCAATGCAGAAGCCGCAATTTGAAAGCGACCCGTTCTCCATCCGTGCCTCTCTGCAGTTTCAAAACACATGGGCGCGGCGCTCAGGCGATAGCCACATACAAAGCGCAGATGCGCGACCATAAGGCGAGAACCACATTTCGAGAAGCGAACCGCACTCCGTCTGTGTAACTGTCGGAAGCGTTCAAGATGAACGTGCGCGGTGAGCAGGTCAGGGCCTGTCAGAAATTGTCACGACGAATGCGCGCGGCGCTCAGGCGAGGGCCACAATTTCCCGTCCGTGCAACTGCTAGAAAAATGTCAAGCTTCGGTGGCATAGTCGGGGGGGGGGGGGGGAATCTCGGAAGAAACGCCCAGCCCGCCCTTGCGACTCGTCTGGTGGACAGACGAGGAGGAGCCGAAGATGCAGCGAGGAGGAGGAGGAGGAGGAGGAGGAGGAGGAGGAGGATCGACGAGGAGGAGGAGGAGAAGAAGGAGGAGGAGGAGAAGGAGGAGGAGGAGGAGGAGGAGAAGAAGGGGGAGTGTGGGTTTCTTCCAGTTGTTTTGGTGTTCTCCGGGGCTCTGGCGGATGTCTGGCAGCGCAGACGGGGCCCCCCAGTGCCGGCAGGACGAGGAGGCCGTGGAGTTGGCGAAGAAAAAGGTGGCGCTGGTGGGCTTCAAGGAGGACGGTTGCGCCCACGACGGTGGCTTCAAGAGGGCGGCTCTGGCCGGCCGTGGTGGCCCGAGGGATTTTGCTGGGGTTCTGGCGTCGGCGATGCGTGACTGTGTTCTGTCGCCGTGGTGTCCTGTGGTGCTGGGCCGGGGGGGGCGTCGAGAGCCTCCCCTTCGACCATGGAGTACAATAGAACCGCGATCCCTGATATCACAAATGAGTTCGTGGCCGTTTGAGGGATGTCCCGACACATATGCAACAAAGACCTCCTGTCCTCAAGTTCCCCCCAACTAGATTCCCTCCCAGAGGATCCCCCAACCAGGTTCCCTCCTAAAGGTTCCCAAAACATAGTCACCTCCAACTTAGGTCCCCCTCCCAAAGGATCAGAGGTACTTCTATTGCTCACCATTCCAGGGCCGACGCAGGCGCCTGGGGGGGTGCGTCCTCCAGACAGCATCGCACCTGATGCTACCCTTGTGATCGTTATTTATTCATTGTTTTGCCGATCGGCGCGGGCCCTCGCACCCCCCCCCCCCCTCCATGGAGTAGATCTTGGCTGTTTTGGGCGTCTGTTTCCAACAGGGTGAGTCTCCCCCAGAGGACGCACGGTTCCAAATAGCCGCAGTAAGCAGAGGTCCGGAGCCAGACCCTCCCCCTCCCCCCTCCCCCTCCGCCCAGGTTTGGCTCGAGCGGTTGCATAACCGGTTCCGCGCCGATCCCCGCCGCGACGCCCTATCGGGCCGCCATCCGACAGGCGCGACGCCTGCCTACTCTCCTCCTTCCTATCCCCAGCGGCCTCGTGACGAGCCCGCTCCTCATCGTAGAGCGCGCAAGCAGCGCGCCAACGCCCGCACGCTTTTAAGGGTGCACAAGGCCGCGATGATGCTTTCACAGCACCACTCCTTTCAGGGCATCCCCCAGCAAGGCGCTGTTCCTCCTACCTCACCCCCTCAGCATGCGCCACTATCTGGGCTGCAGCAGCACGGCATGGCTACTTCTCCCACCCAGCGCTTGGCCGCCCCTCCCTCACCGTCTCTCTATGCCACGCGCCTGCCCTTGGACTTTTTTCCTCCACCCCAGCAGCCAGTGCACCAGAAAGGCAGCGCCCCGCCCGAGTTCTGGTATTGCCTGCAATGTGGCCGGGCCAATGCCACTTTGGATGCCTCATGTCCCAACTGTTTTCCGACTCGGGCCGCAGGTCACCAACAAGCGAAGGTCGGCCCAGTCAAAGGTCAGGGGCAGCACAGGCCCCTGCATGATGGAGGCGCGGGGCCGGGCCACAAGGGCCCTCGCTCCTTTTCAGGCAGCACGGGGGGGGCGCACCAGGGCAAGGGCCCCGCGCCGACAGGTGCGCCGTCCTTCGACCAGGTGGCTGCATGGGCAGCGGAATACGGCCTGCTCCCCGCGCCCCCAGGAGATCATGCGGTCCAAGAGGCTGGGATCTCCAACAAGGAGCGCAAGAAGCGAGAGAAGGACGACGCTCGCAGAGCTCGCGAGTACCAGCGCAGAGACGGGGAGCAGCCTCCATTGAAGGCTCCTGGCACCCCACACGGGGCCAAGGACACAGGCATCATAGGGCAGTCTCCCCAGTCACTGCCTTCCCCTTTTGCGCCTCCTCAAGACGGCGTGGCCACTCCCCCTACACTCTTCGGCCCTACCTCTGTACTGCAGTCTCCTTTCCTCGCGGCCGAACAGGCCTCTGCCTCGCTTGGTGCGCTGGATCCCGCCGCCGAACTCTCGGAGGCGGAGCTCACAGCGCATTGCCCTACCCTTACCCCAGACGAGGCGCACTCTCACTCAGCCTGGCTTTGCCCCCCGCTTGAGCCCGACCGCCTGCTGGAGCACCGCAAGGCCCTTGCAATGAGCAAGGAGGCACTAATCCTGCAGCTTAGGGCCTCAACTCTCCTAGGACACTCCGATATGCGTATCACCGAGATCCGTAAGGAGATTTCACTAGTTAATTTTCAACTGGCCAACGCGAGGGATCCGCTGGCCAAGATTAGCGAGCAAGAGCACGTGGTGGCCTCCCTGCAGGCCAATTGTGAGCAATTGGCAGCCAAACAAACGCAGGCGGAGGAGCACGCGCGCAACATTGCCCTGGCCCTTCAGACCGCGCAAGCGGACCTCAGCCAGGCTGCCATGCTACTAGCTTATTTCAAGTCGCAAGCACCGCCAGTCGCCGCCATCACTGACTCGCTCATGATGGGGGGCGCGACGGAGGAGCCGGGTGCAGGACAGCGCACTGCGACACTCTCTGCAACGCATACAGGTGAGGAGCAAGCCGACCCACATGACCTGGGAACGGCAACGCCCCTCACGGCAGCGCCGACCTCTCCCCCACTCCTCCATTGCCCAGCGCCCATTCCAGGCATCCAAGGATTGGAACAGCCTTACATCACATCACTCTCTGCGGCCATGCAAAGCAACGCCGAGGCCATGGCCAGGGAAGTTGCCACCATTAAGGCAAATTTTGACTCCCAGGCCCAAGCCATGCGCAACTCAGTAGAAACCCTAGTCTCACAGATCAAGGCCGGGCAATTAGTGCCAGCCGCCGCCCCTAGCCACGGCGCTACGGTCCGAGGGGGGACCGCAGCGCCGTTGGGATGTGAACAGGCCCGCGCTTCCTCCAAAGCAGGCCCGTTATTCCGCCTAGGTTTCGTGCCCAAACCCGGGCCAGCGCCAGTGCCCAAGTCGCCGACAGGGGAGGCGATCACCACTGCGCCCTCGTTTCAAGATAGCTCAGTTAGGGAAGACGCTATCAATCAGCAAAGCCCGGCATCAGCTTCCGTAGAGGATCCCAGCGGCATGCCCCCACCTACCCGCTCTGCCAGCCAGATTGGGTGGGACCTCTCCGATGAAAAAGGCGAGCCAGTTTCCATGGCATCCTCCCGCCGCAGCGCAAGCGCGCAGGCCAGGGGCAGACCCGCGCGCGCGGGTCAGACCGAGCAGCGCGCGCTATCAGGCATCAGCGAGGAAGATTTTGTAGCTAGGCAGGCAGCGCGCAGCAAGAGCCCTCGCGGATCACGGCGCCCCAAGCCCGAGACAGCCGAGGATGAGCCAAAGGCACGTGCAGGGGCATCCGCCTCGTCCACCCCACGCAGCCCTGCAGATGCAATGGCAGAAGCAGAGGCTGCGGACCTCCGTGCTGAAGCCGAGGCCCACGCGGCACAAGCTGCTCAGGACGATTTAGCCCAGGCAGCGCGCGACGGCACGGTTTTTCAGGTCGCTCCCCCGGACACTGCCCACGGGTGAACCTGGGGGGGCGGCAAGGTATACGCCGCAGCCCTCTCCCGCCCATGAGGTGGATGCTACCGGTGCTTACGGCTACCTCCATACAGCTGGTCAGGGACTTCGATGTCATCTTTCCAGCCCTCCACTCCTCCTCTATCCCCACATGGCACAGCTTTGTCTTTGATACTCCCTACGCGGCTTTTGACTCCGCGGATATATATACCGACGCCAGCGGAGGGGCCTCCAAAGGAGATCTTGCTGGCCCACCAGCGTGGGCTTTTCTGGTCTTTGCATGGCTTAACGGCACTCGACACTTTCTAGGATTCCTAGGGTGTCCCACCCCGGAGACTATGGGAGCAGATAGAGTCTCCGCTAAAGCGGAATTCGATGCCGCCACTTGGGCGGCGCTATGGGCTCTACAGTCCCCCCTCCCTCCCGCCGTTCCTATCACCTTTCACTCAGACAACGTGGATGTTGTCGCCACCGCCAAAGGCGGCACAGTGGCTGAGCCACTAATGGAGCATAGAAGCCGCCTCGACAGTCTATGCAAGGTACTGGGCCTAAAACGCCACTTTACATGGCAGCGCGTGCACGGTCACCAAGCCGACCCGCTCAACGAAATGGTTGACACGGTCGCCAGACTTTACTCCCTCGCACTCCTACCTCCGCCAGTGCTCCCGCCCCTCATGAGCTTTCTCCAAGACAATGCGCATATTTTGGAATGGCTCTGGCTTGAGTGCCTGCCTCAGCAACAGCGTGCGCTTTACCCGCCAAACCATCAAGTTAGCCTCAATCCTCCTCTCCCCCCGCGCACCTCGCTTGCTGATGTTTTTCCAGGTCTCTTCAAAGAGGCAGCCCCGATCGCAGACGCCACGGCATCATGCTGTCTCAGGCTAGCCTCAGCCAACATTCTCTCTCTCTCTCTCTCTCTCTCTCTCTCTCTCTCTCTCTCTCTCTCTCTCTCTCTCTCTCTCTCTCTCTCTCTCTCTCTCTCTCTCTCTCACTCCTGCCTCGCGCATCTCCCAAAGAGCCAGGCTTACAGGCGTGGCCGTCAAAGGACGCCTCCACCAACTGGCCGCCGCTTTTCAACGCAACGGGCTCGACGTTATCGGCGCGCAAGAGACGCGAGTCACAGACACGGGCTCTGGCAAGCGCCAGGTTCCCCCGTACGTAGTCTTTTTGTCAAAGTCTCAGGCTGGAACTCATGCCTGCGGCTGTGCGCTATGGGTCAACCTTACCACGCCCGTTTTTCCCAATGCCAAAGGCATTCCCACTTTCCCTATTAAGTCTCACAGCGTGCGTATTGTACACCAAGACCCGCGCATTATTGCGGCAGTCATCAGTCAGAACGGCCTACGTTTCAGCATCCTCGTGGCACATGCTCATCATTCAGGGCGTCCTCTCCACGAACAGGTCGTATGGTGGCAGCACCTTAGACATGTGCACGACCATATTTTACCGCAGCCTACGCCTACTATTGTCCTAATGGACTCCAATGCTGCAGTGGGCACGCAAACATCAGCGGCCATTGGCCCACAACACGCGGAGCAAGTTAACACGGCTGGCTTCTTTTTCCATCGCTTCTTACTTGCATCTAAGCTCTGGCTGCCGGCCACCTTTGTGCCACACCCTATGGGGGCAGGCACATGGATTGCGCCAGCACGTGACCCCGCTTTCAAACAGCACTGGAAGCGCAGGGACTATATAGCTATACCTTTAGGTGCCTCTGCCAACGAATGCGAAGTCAAGTATTCTCTTTCTCTAGCACTCGCAGTGTTAGA